CCGCGGTAGCATAATTGGTCAGTGCATTCGCCCGGATTGCGAAGGGTGCGGGTTCGAGTCCCGTCCGCTGCCTGGTCCGCGTGGATTTTTTTCTAGTAAAACTTTTCTTTAGATTTAAACATCTAGCAGTCAAATGCTTAAAAATAAATAAAAACATAACTCATTATGTAATTGTTGACATACGAGTAGTATACAGCAATAATGTTTTCATTTTACCAACTGCCCTCAAATTAATTTGAAACCGCGCACAAACAACAGCGCTCCCGGCATATGGTATCAAAGGAAACTGTATTTTGAATCCGGAAATTGTTCACTTTATAAACAATTATGATAATAATTCGTGTGTTGTGTTCTCGTGTAGGTATTTATTTATTTATTACCTTAGATTAAACAAAAAGGATTATACGGTACGCTAATGCGAGCATCAAATAAAATATGCTCCAACTCAACTACATAAGGAACTCTCACACACCAACACGTCTGTAAACAAACCATTCAATCGAGCGAGCGAAACGGCGAGTCCGCCTCGGAGTCTGTACGGCTGAGCTGTATTTTGTCATTTTCTTGATAACAAAATGGCGACTACATAAATAACATTCACGACAAACCGTGATTTATGAGAAAAAAATGTTTTTACAGTGTTACAAATGAAAAGTGTTGCCAAGGCATTTGTTTTTTGATTTTGAAGTATTTGTGTTCTTTATAAAAGCATCGAAGGCATTGTTTTATCCTTGTAACACAGACAGACAGTATATACTCAGTATTGTTATATTGAGTACACATACAGCGTGTTTGAATGTTCAATTGTGACTAAAGCGAATTGTGGTCATGCACCACAATTTAAGCGGATCACTTTTGAGCCGCGAATGCCGTATCTTGACTTTTTGTTTAATCTAAGATTATTATTTGTTCGCAAAGATTATTTTCATTCAGACAACACAGATCCATATAATTGTTAATATCAATAACTCATATAGTTGGAAGCTAAATTTAAACTTGGTTTTAATAAAAAAATATTAACGTGTCTTTGTTCAACAATTATCACTCGTATTTATAAATAAGTAATTTTTGTTGCTAATTAACCGAAAATTACTTGAGACTAGAATTTTTCGATAGAAAATTTACTTTTTTAAAATAATAATAGAAAATTTACTTTAATAAAAAATACTCTTATAAAATAAGTGCCTTACTTTTACTTAAGCAAATGCTTAAGATGGGCTAGAAATATTTACGTTTTTACGGATGTTTAATTTATTTACAATTTCTTCTTTTTTTTAATAAAGAATAAAATTATTTGTTGATACCTATCAATAATTACAGATTTTGTAATCTAATTAAAAGCACAAAACAAATGGTTATTTATCAACGAAAATGGTGACTAATACTTGGTTAAGAATTCCTTTTTATGACAGTTCTTACTTTGATAAATCTCTTTGGAATGTAAATTTTCCTCAAGTGATTACTTAAGTAATTACTTATACTTGTTTATAAATACGACGGAAATACTTTAAAATTGTTTTCATGTCTTTAAATAAGCTGTGTTAATTAATTTTAATAGTTATACGCTATGCAGCGACTGCATTTAAATTCAAAAACCTTTTACGGGAAAGGAAACATTAAACTTTACGTAATTTTAAACTCACGTTAAAAGTGAAACTAACTACTTACGTACATACATGTGCTGAGTTTGTTGCAATGTGATTTTAGTTTCACGGACTACAGGCGACCGGCGCTTGGAAATGGCGGTATCCGAAATTCCGAAATTAAGTTTAATTATTTAAGTTGCCCTCGTAACTAATTCTATAAGGTGGCGGCGACATCTACACTGGTCACGTAATAATAAACGAAGCAAGACTTGACACTTCATAACAACAGAAGGCGCTACCGGCGCTGCACTCAAAATGCATGCAATCCTACATCGCGCTAGAGAAATTCAGGGGCTTACAATTCATATATACAATGCCCGACCAATATCGGTCTGGCTGCGGCCCCCGTGCTACCATATCCAGCTCCAGCTGGTATTGTAACATAGTCAGATCTTAGTTCACCCATGACTACGGGTGCGGCCAGAGTGCACTCAGATTCAGAGTCAGATTCAGATTCTGAAAACAAGCGCGAGAAATAAACAGTGTAGTCTAAGCAGGTTGCCTGCTTTTTCTCGCGCTTTGTTTTCTGAGTCTGAATCTGAATCTGAATCAGGAGTGATATCTGGCCGTACCCTTCGACTACACTGTTTATTTCTCGCGCTTGTTTTCGAAATCTGAATCTGAATCTGAATCTGAGTGCACTCTGGCCGCACCCTACCGCTTGACGTCGATGGCACACTCAAACCTAACCACGTATTTTTTTTTATTTATTTATGTATCCCGATTTCGTGAAGCTTACGGAGAAGGATTAAATGATCGACGCGATCGAATGCCTTCTCAAAATCTGTTTAGATCGTATCCACCTGGTTTCCCCTATCAACACTCTCGAGGACATCTTGCAAAAACACTTCGAGATTGCTATTAGTTGACCTGCCTTTTTAAACCCATGTTGCTGTTCAGGGATAATACGATTAATGAAGGAATAAACATGATGTTGGACAACCTTTTCAAACAGCTTACTTAGAACTTTAAGATATTGGCCGATAATTATCAACCAACGTCTTAAGTCCCTTCTTGTGTATGGGTACAATGTGGACAGTTTTCCAAATATCGGTGAAAAAACCTTCACGCAAACATCTATTGAAAATAAATGTTATGGGCGCAAATAATGATTCCGCACATCGGACTAAAAATATTGGCAGGAATCAAGTTACTGCCAGGACCCTTAGAGACATCTAAATCCTGAAGAAGTTTTAGAACCATTTTCGGATCGACATCAATAGTGTAAAGGTGATCATTTTGAGTTTCAGAGAGAGGTGGTACTGTATGGCTCGAAGTGTCAGTTGTGCTAAAATTTCTGTAGAAAAAGCCATTAAAGGCTGCACAGATTTGCTGCTCATTAGACAGATTTTTATTATCATAAACCATTAATCTTGGATAGCAGGAGTTATTTTTCCTGCGGGACTTAACGTATAACCAAAAAGTTTTAGGCACACGTTTAATTTTTTCTTGGCAATCCAAAATGTATGACCTCATAACACCTAGTTCTCAGTGCTTTCTCTCTAGCCCTAAGCACAGAAAATGAGACATAATTCATTTGGTTCCGAAATTGTTTTCAATGTTTGTGAATTCTGAATTTTTCTTTAATAACTTTAATTAAAGCGGGGCTGTACCACGAGGGATATTGATGTCTACCACCAAACATTTACTTATGCCACATGCTTATTAATTAACTTATACAGAATATCATAAAAGTTTCTAGTCATGTTATCCGTAGACGCCTGATGCAAAACAAGGGACCAATCAAAAGATGAAAAGTCATCGTTAAGAGCAGAGTATGTCGCTTTACGGTATTAATACTTTTTATGTGTAGGTATTTTAAGGTGTGATATAGTTATATCTGAGGCGTTAAATAGTAAGGCCGGGTAAAATTTATCTTCCTCAACTAATGGACTACAAGATCTGTCCAGAGCTGCGGGAAAGTTAGCAAAAATTAAATTTAATGTATTATTGTGTCAGTAATAATCGAATCATATTGATAAAAACCGTTGTATGACATCGTATTAATCAGTTTCGCAGCTGAGGTTTGCACATCCACAGATCCCTTTTTTTAAGAAATTAGGCTTACCAGTAGACCACTCAACACACGGTAAGTTGAAATCACCAGCCAAAAGAATGTAGTCATCAGAGTGAGTTTCTGTGACATATGGTATAATGTCGAGTAATATTTGAATACGGGTGGGAATAGCTCGAACGGGCGGTAAATAAATCACGGCAATATGCATGTTTTGCTTATCGGTTCCGAGAGCGCGCGAAGGTATAGTAAACCAAACACATTCGACTTTGTCGTACCCCCACTTTGGCCGCGGGCGCGCTTGCAAATGCGCGGCGCAGAGCGCCATCACTACGCCGCCGAGTGCGCCTCGGTCACGACAAGTTACGCAGAGTTCTGAATCTAGTATGCCGTCGCATAACCACGTCTCAGATAGCAAAGCCACATCAAACTCGGTTTAAAATGTGTTGTTAAAGAACGAGTTAGTCTGAGTACGCAGTCTTCTTACGTTTTGATAATAAAAACTTAATCGATTAGGTGACGAAGCCATTGCGTATTAACTGTGTTTGAATAGGTGTTATATATAAGCGTACTAATGCATAGAAGTGTATGGGTGAGACAATAAGGAAAGAAAAAATGTTGGTGACTGCGAATAAACATAGTCGCGTTAGAATACGGAGCGAGGCCTAAATTGTATAGACTTTGAACATAATAATGTTATCCGGCAAAATCGCAAAACAATAACAATAATGACTTTGCAGTGAATAAACTACATGCACAAAATTCGTTATACATCATATAAATGCTCAATTGCGGTATATATTTGAAATGTTAATGTTGAAGATGGGATTGGCACCGGTCGCTGACATAAATACTTTCAATGGCAATTTGTACCATAAATAGTTTATATAAAAATGTAGTTGGTTGAGTGAGGTTTATAGTGTGTAATGTGTTATATTAAATATGACTTTAGTAGTTGAAATAATGTTAAAAATACAGCAAAAACAATTGATAAACACTGGAATTAACGCATTTTCTTGAAATCGTCCATAGTTAGTATTGGCAAAGCAGGCGATGTCGTTTCGGCAGGCAAACATACGACAGTATTTTGTCCAAATATATTCGTAACCTAGTTCCCTTGCTTTTAACTTAGTGGCTATTAACAGCGATTTGTTTTCTCGGGTTAGGTGTTTATTTATAAATATTTTACTGTTTTTCGACTCCTCGCCACCCAGGCCCACATCAGCACAGGAGAAAGCACGCCTCTTCCGCGCTGCAGCCAAAATAACACCCTTTGTAGATCGCAACCTGAACCGTGCTACAATATTTCTTATGATGGAACTTTTATTAGAATTGTAGGGTTAAACTCGATGATCGAACTCCAAATCATTTGTAGCTACGTCAACACCGATGTGTTTCGCAATGCTCAACACGATATTAGCTGTGTCGTCTTCAGCATCATCGGGAACATCTATTATTTCTACATTTTGTAGACGGACCCATTGTTGATGACGTGCTGTTAAGTTGCCACGCAGAACGCTATTTTCATCCTTCAACGAATTTAAGCTCATTGAGTTACTCATCATCAACTTCGTCAGATCTTCATATTGTGAACTCACAAAGCTGACAGATGTCTCCAAGCCGCTAATCGTTTGGAATTCAGTGCTTATCAGGGCACGTAAAGTGTAATTTAGTTTCTCCTTAATGATTGCTCGAATGTCGTTTCGGAGTTCTTGATTTTGGTTGTATTCTTGCCCAGATGTGCTAGTGGGCTTCCGAAACGTAACGTTAGTGCTGGCTTCATCGCTGGCATGGTGTTGAGTAGGAAGCTCAACTGGGCTCAGAGCTTTCACTGGAGTTTTACTATTGTCCCTTGTGTCCTTAGGGCGAACATTGTTACAAAGGGGGCATGTCCACGCCGTTTGTTTTTTGTCATTTTCTTGGGTAAGGTTCACACACAGGTGATAGTGACTGGAGCATGTCTTGCGGGAACAAATGATCTTGTCAGCCGATTTAATTGTCTTGTTGCATGCGCTGCAGACAGTCATGATTAAAAACAAACAATGTTATACCTGCTGAACACAATAGGAAATGATGGTGTCCTGTGCAAAATCCGATGGGTGATGCTGATGCACAAAAAGCACTTTTTATTAGGATGTTAGAAAGGTAAACTATAAGATTGGATATTAAATATAAATAACTTGATTTCACAACATGTCCGCCCTGAGTAGATTATGGAGGGTAGATAAGGTTCCTATTACAATTTAAGTTTCCGAAAAGCTCTGTTTGTTGATTTACCAATTACAACAAAAGGCAAGCAGCGAGCATTAAATAAATTTTCGTAATGTTTTAAAATATGTATTAATTTGTTAAAATATTATTAAACCATGACATTATAGCATGATACGTCCCTTCTTGGAATAATGCTAAACGTTTTAATATGGACAGCGGGATATAGTTACCAAGATACCAGGAAATAGGTATCGTAATCCTGCAAATCATAGCCACCACCAGTTTGTTGAAATACGAAACTGCTCCCATGGGTACTGGATAGCGTTATAGAGCAGAAGATGTTGCGCAATGCAGATGCAAGCAGTAGTGCAAATTAACCTAGTTTTCACGCTAATAGATTTAAATAAATAAGTAATAACTAGAGAGAGCGTGAATTCTATCATTATCATTATGATACATAATTGATAATTGAAGTTAGCAGCGAGATACAGGTAATGGTTGACAATAATGCAAGAAAAAGAAAAGTAGTAAAAAAAGACACGCTTATAAAACATTGTGTACAAAAAGTGAGAATGAAGAACAATGTCGGAGGTGGTGTTAGTATTCTTAAAATTTGTGTTTTTGTTGATGTTAAAAAGATAAATATAAATTATATTCTTGATTCCAGATACGATTTGCGCATGGTGGCTGGCAGGAGCTGGATGCGAGTAGCCCAAGATCGATCTGAGTGGCGTGCAATTACAGAGGCCTATGTCCAGCATCGGACTAAGATAGGCTGTTGATGATGAAGATGATATTTTTGATGATGTTTTATGATATTTTATGCTGGTTCTAGTATTACATCTTGACACCATGGTTTGAAGACCTTTGTTTGCCAGTCCAACTTTATTATTTTAGATTTTTAGGGCTATGCAGTTCTAATAGAACTGTAGTCACTGCGTCCTATAAGATTTTTTGTGACAAGCCACCAAGTCAAGCTCAAAATGTTTCTAGCTTTTAGTGATTTTGTTTCCTCTGGGAGTATTATATTTCATCCCAAATGAATACTACGTTTGTGGATGAGAGGCCCATATTTACAAAGAAGGTATTTGAAGTTCAACTTGCTATTTTTATTCTATAGCTTTAGGTAATTATTAAAAAATTCTATAGAAAATTTTACGTGACGTGACGTGATTCAAACCCGCATCGTCGAAAATTCATCATCATTGAATGGATTCGAATACAGTCGACGGCGGAATATAACTTTTGGTCTACAGCATCTTCGATTGGCTTTCGTTCGTTGAAGAAAAGTGTAGTTCAACATTGACAAAGCTGCCATGAACATCTACAGGGAAGAGCCCGCAGACAGACACTTGAATCCTCCCGTTTTACAGCTTTCGTGAACTAGTGCCGTCTTCCAAAAAGCCATCTACTCAGACGGCTTCAAGGTACGTGGTGCTTTGTTCAGTGTTTGACAGTCATTGCAAATCAACGGTTTTTTCGATCATTACCTCAACGACCTCCGTGGCCGAATGGTTTGTAAGCTGGGTTTCAAGGTGTCACCTACTCGTGAGGTCCGGGTTCGAATCCCAGTGGGGGCAGAGTTTGTGTGATGAATACAAGCATTTGTTTTGTACTCCAGCCATGGATGTTAATATGTATTTCTAAATAAATATACTTATATAAGTATTCTAACCGTTACCCTAGCATCCCATAACACAAGCCTACACTGCTTACTTTGGGGCTAGACTAATTGGTGTGGGTGTTGGAAATATTTATCGCCATTATTATTATTATTATTATTATCGCCATGAACTAAGGATTACTTCCCATGCGAAATAATCTACCCTGGATGTATGGGACATCCATCCACCTTCTCTCGGTCTCATGCATTCTTTTGGCTTGAAACAAAATTTTAGATTACATGTTTATGTAGAATTGAAATGCTTAAAATTCAAATATAATAATCTAAAATCTAAAGCTATAAATATTTTTATTATTTGTTACGTACTGTATGACTATTCACTGTGAACGGATTAGTACAACGATGAATTAATATGTAAAATGGGGGCCAAGTTCTAATGGCCCCTGTATTAATGCCGGGAGATTAATCTGTGTATATATTGCCTTCGTACACAAGCTACTTAAGGCGTAATCCTTGAGATATTAATTAATTAGTGGCCACTAACGACCGGCCCAGAGATCACGAAACAACGAATGCTGTTCCGTCATCGGATATATTTTGTAATATTACCTTTATCAGTTATTCAAAATCGCATAATTTTTCTTTGAAATCGAGATCGTTTTATAAGTAAAAGTAACGAGGTGCCCTTGACGGTTGATAAGCACTGCCTACCATATAAGATATCGGGCAATCGTGAAAATACTTAGATTAAAACAAAAAGGGTAGATACGGCACTTGCAGCTCAAGTGATCCGCTAAAATTCTGGTGCATGACCACAATTCGCTTTAGTCACAATTGGACATTCAAACAGGCTACATGTGCACTCAGTATAACAACATTGCGTATATTCTGTGTTATAAAGAGTAAACAATGTCTTCGATGCTTTTACAAAACACAAATAGTTCAAAATTAAATAACAAATGCCTCGGTACTACTTTTCATTCGTAAAACAGTAACAACATTTTTTTTTCTCAAAAATCACGGTTTGTTGTGAATGTTGTTTACGTAATAGCCTTTGTTTTATCAAGAAAAGGACAATAATACAGCTCAGCCGTGCGGACTCGAGCGCAGACTCGCCGTTTCGCTAGCGCTGGTTTTACGCATAAAATTTTGTCTAGCTCGCTTGATTGAATGTTTATTTACAGACGTGTGCGTGTGTGAAAGTTGCTTATGTAGTTGAGTCGGAGCATATTTTATTTGATGCTAGTATGAGCGTACCGTATCTTCCCTTTTTTACTCGACTGCGCAATGCAAGAGCGCGAAGCGCGATGTGCAGACAGGGTATAGTGTTTAGCAGTCTATATATGTATGTTTGTTCCTTTGTGGCACACTAGAGACCAAACGCGTGGACCGATTTTGATGATTTATACATCAATCGATTCGTTTTAATCATGGGAGTGCTAAAGATATGATAGTAATCAAAATTCAATATGGGGACAATAAGGCGCCATATTGTGACGAAGTAAAAAAAGTTGACGAAATATGTCGAGTGGGGTATCATTGTCTACATAATCGAAAATCATGATTAGGTTCCTTATTCTTTTAATCTAATTGAAAATGACTTTCAACATCCACCGCCCGCTTACTACTACGATTGTACGGAGGCTCGCATGCCTCAGTCGCAAAATCGTCGGCAGTTACTCAAGTCAAAAGGTGTTCATTCGCTGCCTATATTTTATCATCGCGTCACTTGCCCATTGTCGCGTCCCACGGTCTTCCGTGCGGCTCCATCATTACCCTGGACTGCGGTACCCGTGAACCCACCTGCGCTGTGTCGGTTGAAATCATCGTCATCAGCAAGGGAGTGTTTTATATTCATTACTTACTAATTCCCGTATTTCAGTCCCGTTTTTCATCGGCATATCGTTCGAATTAGTCTGACTCAGTTGTAACAGAAAGCCACCAATCCTTTTTTTTGTGTGTTGCGGATGCTACAAATGTTTACGGCCATATTCATATACTTTGAAGTCTGTCTAAAATTGATAGTTACTTTTTTTGAATAAGAATAGTGTTGACGCATGAGTAAGAAGTTCTGTTTTTTTATTTATTTTTAAGCATTTAACTGCTAGATGTTTAAATCTAAAGAAAAGTTTACTAGAAAAAAATCCACGCGGACCAGGCAGCGGACGGGACTCGAACCCGCACCCTTCGCTATCCGGGCGAATGCACTGACCATTATGCTACCACTGCCCTATTCGCCGCGTCGAAATTTTCCTAGCCTTAAGCTGCAAGTAATCCACAATGTCAAATGAATACTTTTTCAAGTATTAAACATTTGAAAGAAGAAATAGCAATTATTAAGAAGTTCTGCCTACACCGGAACGTCGCTTCATTTCTACCAGTAGAAGCAGCTTTGACCCACGTGATCAAAAAGAACACCCCCTCTACACGTCACTCTCTACGCAATTCAACTTTTGTACGCTCAACTTTCTTTCGCAATTTTCGTTTAATTTTTTATTTGTAATTATATTCGCAATATACGCATTATTCAAGTAAACAACTGAGATTTATTGAAGAGTACGCATAACGCCGAAACAAATAGAATAAGGCAATATGGTGACTTTTAAAAGTAATAAATTGCTTCGACGTTTCTGAGTACGCCTGTTAGTGTATTATATAATACTAGTTTTTTTTAATCTAAAGAAAATGTTACTACAAAAATTCCACGCGGACCAGGCAGCAGACGGGACTTTCTAGTAATATTTTCTTCAGAATTAAACATCGAGTAGTTACATGCTTAAATAACAAAAATTATAGTATTTTTTAATTTTTAATTGCATACGTCGTAAGATGATTTGATAAATCGAATTATCGCAAAAATCCTAGGGATTTTTAGTCCATAATTAGACAATGGGGTTTACAAAATTTCGATAACAGTAAAATTGGGCAATGAAGCCATGCATGCATGGCAATTCAATGCCATGGTCTAATTGTCTATGAATCAGTTTTATCAGTCCATTTATGTACCCACTGCTGGTAATACCCACCCTACCCAGACAGACCTTCCTTATAGATGGAGTAGGGAAAATGGTACATGACCCAAGGGGTAAAGGAAGATAAATGTGGATAAATGGGTCGTAGTAGTCGCAAGCACTTCAGATTCAGCTGGGACCACTGCCTCTATGCTCGACATAACATTGTTGGTCACCCGTC